AGGATAATACAAAAGTTATGGATGATTTAGTGATTTCCTGCAAAACCCATGGCGGCCAAAATGATCAGAACGGTTGAAAAATAACCAAATAATCAAAAAATGACAGAGAATACTGGAATTATTTAATATTTAGTTTGAAGCCCTTTAGCTTCAATCACACTTTGACATCTTCGACTGCATGAGGAAATGAAATTTTCAATTTCTTGCTGGGTGATCTTATTCCATTCTTCCTGAAGGGCATTCCATAATTGCTTTGGTTGTTTTAGGATTTCTGGCTTTCGAATGTTCTCCTAGAATATTCCACACATTTTCAATAGGATTAAGATCTGGGCTTTGAGCAGGCCAGTCCATAATAATAACCTTTTCAGCCTTGAGGAAGTTCATGGCCTTGTGACATGGGGTAGTGTCCTGCATGAATATGGATGGTCGCTTAGTTGAATTTCTCAGAACAGACAAGACATAATCTTTTACAAGTTGTTTATAAACTCCTGCATTTATCTTTCCATGTAATCGCACCAAAGGGCCCACACCATCTCCAGATACCATCCCCTAAACCATGACACTTCCTCCACTGAATTTAACACTCGTCTTAAGGCATTTAGGCGACAATTTTTCACCTACTTTTCGACGATCATTTCCCATCTGAGCCAAATAACGTAAACTTGGATTCATCACTGTAATGCACCGTTTGCCATTTTTTAGACCACAACACTTGTGCGAAGGTAAGACGACACTTTTTATTCTTAACTTTATTCTTTTATATTAACAAAGTACATTGCAGATATTCTTACTAATGTTTAGTAAATGAACCGTCACGTAAACAAATTAAAAAAAATTAGAGTTCGCCGGTTAAATATACTAAAACATGAAGTAAAAACAACCGTTCCGATCATTTTGGCCGCCATGGGTTTTGCAGGAAATCACTAAATCATCCATAACTTTTGTATTATCCTCTCAAATTACACTCAAATCTCAGACAATAACAATTAATATCCCATTTATTGTCGTTGAAAATTATAGAATATTAAACAACTTTGATAAAAAATTATACCTACTTTTCTGACGAAAACAATGCCGTTCTGAATATTTTGGCCGCAACTGTAAGTAATTTTGCTACGCTCTCTCTCTCTCTATCTCTCTCTCTCTCTCTCTAGGTTGTATCAAAAATATTTTTACAATCTTTGGGGGCGGGTTTCTCGCACTACAGCAAAGACAAATAAACATACATGTCTGCAATCCTTCGTTTTTGAATTATTAAGTTTAAATTTTAGGGTAGACGCTGATAAATGTACAATCCAAAAATACTTTGGAGCGGGTTGCTGACATCAAAACAATGTAAAATGTCCATATAAACATATATACAAAAGGCCATCGATGTATCTCAAAAGAGAGACTAATGACAATTATCAATACAACATGACAAAGACGATGTACATAAGAACAAGATTTATCCAAACAAATAACTGAATGATAATGTTATATTTATGAATATGTCCTGAAGATGGTTTATTAGACCGAAACGTCCGATGTTGACATATTAACATTAAAACAGCATAATTGTATATAAGGATTTTTGCTTTGTTTTTTCCGTATATATTTTTCTTCATACTGTCGGATCTATATCCATATATTTGCTTACATATATATATATATATATATATATATATATATATATATATATATATATATTTATATATATATATATTTTATTATTATGTATTATTTTTATTTCATATTTTACAATATATATATTTATAGATAAATATTATTAAATATAATATATATATATATATATATATATATATATATATATATATATATATATATATATATATATATATATATATAGCGAAAAAAGAAAAATACTGAAAAAACAAAATTCTGAATATGCATTACTAATTTTAAAAATAAAGTCGACGTCGGACATTTCGGTCTATTTAAGACCATCTTCATGGACATTTTCATTTAAACATAATTAACATTATAACTTATAACAATTTAACACAAAAGACGATGGACATAAGAGCCCAACTAATTCAGACAGATAACTGAAATTTTATACAGATCAGCGTTCTGTTTAAATATGATCACGTAGTCGTCACGTGGGCGATGTTGTTAAGACGTATTCGAAGATGATTTCCAAAAATTAAAAAATATCAAAAAGACGAATGAAAAATTTTTATAAACAATTAAAGAAATCTCTTCCGTTGATGTTGGAATACGTAGTGATCAATGGTTCTTATATCTTCAACAAGCTTGAATGTCTTTCCCGTTACAATGCAAATCCAAAAGTGATTTTAAAAACGATGGAACAGTTCTAAAAAACAGTTCGATTTTTGATTTTGACTTTTGAAGATGGTCTTACATAGACCGAAACGTCCGACGTCGACTTTATTTTAACATTAATAATGCATATTCAGAATTTTGTTTTTTTCAGTATTTTTCTTTCATACTGTCGGATTTATATCCATATATTTGCTTATATATATATATATATATATATATATATATATATATATATATACAAGTATATGATTGGTGTATACGGAATAAATTCCAATAACCACAAAAGAGTTAAAAGAGTGCTCAATACAGAGTAGAGCAGATATAATTATTTATTTAAAAATTATAACATAAATATGTTATAAAATCAATAAATAATTATATATATATATATATACACACACACACACACACACACACACACATATATATATATATATATATATATAATTCTTTAAGAATGTATCTATTATATACTAATGATTTTGTGAATAAAAATTTTAATCGATCGATATATGAGGTCGACTCTGATATGAATACATCCGATAGGCAACAATACAGATGGTATGTAATCAACGAAACAATTTGCGATTAAAAGTACTTCTGCTTATTTCATTGTAATATCTTTAGCAAAAATTCCTTAAAAATCGGAATTAAAAAAATAATTTATGAAAATCTATCCATTAAAAAGGTTCATATATTAAATAGTGATAATAGCAAATAAATAAACCTTTATTGTCAGTATTATTTATGGAATGTTCCAGATAACCTATAAAAATATCAAATGAATTTATTTAAACTGATTTTTATTTGCATTAAAAAAAAGTTAAAATAAATGGAAAATGCTGGAGAGTAGAAATAATTTTTGTAGAAATAATTTTGGACACATGCAGATTTTATTTAAAAAATGTTTATTTTCAATAATTTTATTTAATTTTCATTGTGTGGAATTGAACCCCAGGCAAAGTGTAAAGAGTCATTCATGATTAACTACTTGCCTTTCATGGATCGCCATGTTGGCTGGTCTTTAGTTCAAAATGGCGAACGCTACAGAGGAAGCGACTGATCATATCCGTCACTGAAATTGAATAAAATGAGTAAAGTGATTCCGGCCAAAACGATTGGATCTCGCTTTGATTTGTTTGCTTTCTACTTTTCTTTCCCTGAATGAAAATGTGCGCTCACCCCCTTCAACCACCCCCATCACGCGCTGGCGGGCACACACTGCCGGAAACTCTTGTATTTCGGTTCGGTTTGTCAAAAATCTGCTCATCATAAATCATAATTTGTTGATTTTGTCTAAATGAGGATGTTACTTATTTTCATGAAAAAAAAAAAAAAAGAAATGAATTTTTATTCTTTTCGTTTCTTGATTCATTTTATGTTCTCTTTTGTCAATTCAATCGTTGTTTTTTTTTCTCTTTCTCACACACTCATTTATCATTTGATTTCTTGATATCTCTTTCTATCCATTTTGTGCGTTATCATTGTTTTCTTTTCCTTTCATCCTCTCTTATTTGCTTGCTTTCATTCATTTATTCAGTCAGTCAGTCAGTCTTTATTTTATTCTGTTCAGTCTTTCTTTGCTTCTCATCAGTCTTTCATTCATTCTCGCTCTTTCTATCTTTCTGTCTTTACTTTTATTTCCTCTCATCATTTTACCTTTTCTTTCTTTCTTTCTTTTTTTCTTTCTCGGCATTTTTGTTCCTTTCTTTCTTTATTCTGATCACCCATCATTTTTATTATTATTGTGTCTTTCTTTCTTTCTTTCTTTTTTCCTTTGCTCTTCGATGATTTGTTTGTTCCTTTTTACTTAGATCTCTCTCTTTCTTTCTTTCGTTCTTTTTTTTTGTTTCTTTCTTTTTTTCTTTCTCGTCGGTTTTTGTTCCGTTCTTTCTTTCTTTCTTTCTTTTTTCCTTTGCTCTTCGATGATTTGTTTGTTAATTTTTACTTAGATCTCTCTCTTTCTTTCTTTCGTTCTTTTTTTTGTTTCTTTCTTTTTTCTTTCTCGTCGGTTTTTGTTCCGTTCTTTCTTTCTTTCTTTCTTTCTTTCTTTCTTTCTTTCTTTCTTTCTTTCTTTGCCCTTCGAAGATTTCGTTCATTTATTTTTTTTTACTATTTCGTTTTTACTTAGTTAACATTTCGTTATTTATTTTGATACGTTCAGTCATTCTTTTTCTTCCTTTCTTCCTTTCATTCTTTCTTTCCATGAAAATGCATTTTCAACTTGGAATGCAACTATATTGCTGATTAGATAAAAGCGCTAAATAGCGTCTCTATTAACAATGATACCATTTGCAGACGTAATCATTTACTATAAATCATGAATTTATCACTTGAGACTACTTGAAAATGACTCGCAGGAAAAAAATATGGCACGGGGAAAGAATAAAGCGCGATTGGGTTGAGGTAAAAGAATAAGAAAACAGAAAGAATTGAATTATCGCAGGAAGTTAGAGTTTGTGACGATTTGGGGAAAAGGGAAGAGTGAATGATGAATGAAATCTGGATCGGTGAAAGTAGTTTAGAGAAAATGAAAAGGGAAAGTAAAAAACATACGGTAAGGTATTGTTATTCGCTATCCAAGGGGCATTGTCTTCTTCGCTTCAAGTGGCAAGCTATCAAGGATGGCATCTGCAGAACTGGCTGATTGAAAAAGTTGGCACAGAGTGAATCTAAAGGACGAGGGTATTAACGTTAAGAGGAAGATGATATACGTATGTAGGTGCAGAGTGAGGTCATCAACAAGATAGATAGATAGATAGATAGATAGATAGATAGATAGATAGATAGATAGATAGATATGAGCACACAAACAGACTAATAGATAGATAGATAGATAGATAGATAGATATGAGCACACAAAGAGACTAATAGATAGATAGATAGATAGATAGATAGATAGATAGATAGATAGATAGATAGATAACCCCGAACTGAGATAGATATCCCTGAAGAGAGAGGGATACATTGACAGACAGACAGACACATAGATAGATAGATAGATAGATAGATAGATAGATAGATAGAGAGAGAGAGAGAGAGAGAGAATGTGAGAAGAATTAGAAAGAGATAGATGTGAAGGGATTTAGATAGATGAAAAGATAGATAGCCCTGAACAGACTGAAATAAATAGACCTGAAAAACACACACACACTCATACATATATATATATATATATATATATATATATATATATATATATATATATATATGTGTGTGTGTGTGTGTGTGTGTAGTGAGAGTGAAAAGAGAGAGAGAGAGGGGATAGGCCTGAATAGAGTGAGATATATAAATATATCTAAACAAACAGAAATATATATATATATATATATATATATATATATATATATATAAAGAATGATAGATCGATAGATAGCTTGGTAGAGAGATAGCTCTAAACAGATTAAGATAGATAGATAGATAGATAGATAGATAGATAGATAGATAGATAGATAGATAAGATTTGAAACTGAAAGGCAAAAGATGGAAAAGGATGAGGAAGTGGACAGATACGCGCATTAGCAATAAAATATAAAAATGAGATTTCAACACTGACATCACAGTTCTGTTTTTGTTTATACTTTCGAACATCTTAATTATTATTAAGAATAGTACGTTGCCAATATGGTAGATTGAGGGAATTTATCAAGGTAAAATAGATTTACCTTATAAATCCCCTCAGGGGACGAAACATGTCGTTAAAGAAAGGTTTTTCTATTGTCTTTATACACACACACACACATATATATATATATATATATATATATATATAGAGAGAGAGAGACAGAGAGACAGAGAGAGCGAACGAGTGAGAGAATGGCCCATATCATATGATCAAATGAACGGGATATGATTTGGGTATTAAGTAGCCCACGTGATTTTACCGTAAGGCAGCGTCAATGGTATGCAGCTCAGCCAGTTTGCAATTATCTTACTATGACTTGCCATTGGATCAAGTCTGACTTATGCTGAGAATCGACATCGTAATTCTCAATCTAACGTCGGCAAACAATCGGTCGTGTGCCGTCAGGTTTCAGTAAGTTGGAAGAGACTGCAGTCTGTTTAGTTATCGTCTTCGTGTAGCGAGTGGACAATGATAATAAATCTATATCTATATCATTCTCTCTCTCTCTCTCTCTCTATATATATATATATATATATATATATATATGTCTGTGTGTGTATGTTTAGGCAGCATATATTCATTCAAACATGTCTCGTTGAATAATATAGATATATTATATGAATTACAAAGGGTGAATTACAGGGGTGAATTAAAAAGACTTATTGTAACTCTATTCGTTGTGATGGTGAATCTAAAAAAAACAAAACACGCGTGAATGCAGTCTGTTATAATTATTTATAAAAAATTAAATTCATTCGTTGTAGCTATGGATTTTTTGCAAAACAAGCGTCCCAGTATCAGGGAGTCAACCAGACATTGATAGAAATGCAAAATGGCATATAATGTTGGTTAAATGCACTTCAAATCGTTGGTGCTACACTCGTAATAAACTTTGTTCACTGTTCACAAACATATGGTTCCTCCTTCCCCAATACTAAGTATGATTGAAAGAAATATTAAATAAACCCTCTCTAAACTCGACCATGTCTCTCAAACCACCCCTCATTACCCCCCTCTGTTAAATTACAAAAACTTACACTACCCATCAAAAGTATGCATTTTCATTTCATTTCGTTTCGTTTCACCTTTTGGAAGTGCTATCTGATGATCCAGAGCCCTTTAAAAGGGCTCTGGTAAAATAAATTATTATAATGTAACCTTGAAGCTGTCTGTTTTTTATATATATATATATATATATATATATATATATATATATATATATATATATATATATATATATATATATACGCACACACACACACACACACACACACACAACACACGAACACACACACACATATATATGAAATAAAGGAAAGAAAGAAAAAAAAAGACAGAACGAATGAACGAAAGAAAGAGGAGGGTGTTCGGGAGACTAAATTCAAGACAAATTTAATTAAAAGAGAAGGAAACTACTAAATAAATAGAATATAAAATATTTACCGGCGTTTGCTTAGTCAAATATTAGAAAGGTTGATTAGATTACGTTTCGCCTATTTTAAAATCGAAAAATAAAAATACCGAAATTGGAAAATACACAACTACCTCAACCATCAAGAAAGAATATGGATATTTACGAAACTAAATCAATTTTGGAAAAGTCGTGTGATTGATAAATTGAATAGTACTATACATATTTACTAAGGTTTCTAGTTTGGAACGTTTCTCTGTCTGGACAAATCAGCGTTTGAAATTCAGAATTCTTACTTGCGGTTGAACACAAACTCACGTAAGTATTTCAGGCTGCAAGCAAATTCCACATTCAAGATTTAAAATCAGCAAGAAGTAAAGAACGGAAAAAATGAATAAAAAATGAGAATACGGCGACAAGTAGAAAAGAAAGTTAAAGAAAAGAAAAACAATTTATCTCTGTTTGGATGGATGGGTCATTCGGGAATTGTTAGTTTAAAGGAATTGCATATAAGAACGCTTTAAGGAATGAAAACAAAATGGAGGCAATTTTAGCAGCGCATAAAACATTATGATAGAAATAAAAAAATCAAATATAATCTTTAAAAGACAACAAAACATGAATAAAATTAAAATTTAAATAACAACAGAACCGTTTCATGGTTTACATGTGGCAAACATTAAAAGAATAACGTTCAGTTAGGGGCTGCGGATATATGAAATGTCTCTCACTCACTAAACCAAGAAAATGGAAAACGAAAAAAAAACCCTGAGAAATATCATTATTGTGTGAAAATATTTCCCAAGCTGTAGGAAAATTGAAGAGACAAATTTTAAACATGGTATTATCGGCAATCTCTTGGGGTCTGAAATTGTTGCTAAATCTGTGACATTCCTGAGTATTTAGCGGAACAATCAGGCTCTCATGGGGAGGTCATTTACACTCCAACAAAATATTAAGAAATAGACCGTATACATGCACAAAAATATGTTTGTCCCTTATTGGAGATCCATTTTATTTTCTAATTCTGTTGCACCCTGGAGCTTTCCATATTACAAAAATCTCTATTGAAAGTGTCCCGAAACAACGCATAGGCAGCAATTGATGTACGCGGAAAACGAATAGAGGACATCAGGCCTCGTTATGCAAGAAATAGCAGATAGATAGATAGATAGATAGATAGATAGATAGATAGATAGATCGAGGATTTCAAACAAATACGAGTATATAGAAAGATACCAATAGCTCTAGATAGATAGATAAGCAGGCAGGCAATGAAGCAGGCAGACAGGCAGTGAATTAAAGCGCTATTTAGTGACATGGTGACTGCGAGTTTAATCATTGTGTAGTTAGACTCAGTGGAAACGGGCGAGAAATAAGAGGACAGTACTAAAAATAAGAACTAGACGATATCTATAGGCATGGGGAGTGGAGCGAGAATAGTTTGCCCCCACCCTGTAGATCAATTAAAGGCTGCAGATAAATAACTGTAGATGACTAACTGTAGATAACTAACAGTCGATTTGTGAAAAAATCGGTTGTAATCAGCCATAAGTAACGAAATGCAAAAGAAAGCTATTATATATATATATATATATATATATAATTATTTAAAAAAAAAATATGATTCCTTCGCTGCATAAGAGTTCTCATGTTTCAAAAACGACAGCCGAAACCATCACTATAATTATTAAAAATTAGATTGAATTAAAGTAACAAGCCCTGTTTCATCCTCAAGCGAAAAGCTTCAAAATTTCCAAATTAAGCTGTTTGTCTGACGATTGCAAAATGCGTGAAACCCAGGTTTACAAAATTGTTATCGCAAGTAAATGCGTATACTCTATCACTGATATTTAGCACTTGCCAATAAGTAACGCGCATATGTAATATATAAATAATATATATATTTAGGAATTACAAACACACACACACACACACACACACACACACACACACACACATATATATATATATATATATATATATATATATATATATATCGTCATTCACAAACAGACTGTTTCGCAGTATCACAGCTCATCGATGTGGCTAGACATCCGATTGCCTCAAGCTGGGATCGAAACCCGACTGATTTTACTCCTGCGCTATCAGCGCCTTATATATATATATATATATATCGGGCGCTGATAGCAATATATATATATATATATATATATATAGGCAATTTTATATAACATATTTATAATTATATATGCGCTGTACTTATTAAGGTGCGCTCAGTATCAGTGATAGAGCAAACATATTTAGTTAGGTTGATGTGAGTTTGTGACCCTGGGTTTCACGCCCTTTTTCAATCTACAGACAAGCTGTATGACGATCGATAATTGCGTGAAACCCAGGATTTACACTTACATCAAACAACTATATATATATATATATATATATATATATATATATATATATAGCTTCAATCTTCATTCACCATTTCACAAGGGAAACTATCAGCATCCATCCGAATAAAATTGATATCTACTCAGCTTGGCCAAATCTGTGACAGATGTATATTATTAGGGACTATAGATAATAACATCGGGTTGGAAAATATTCAGATGCACCTGAACACATCTTTTGTCTTTCTTTGATAAGTTGCTACTGCAAGAGAAGAATTATTAAAATCAGGCATAATTGACGAGAAAGACATCAATTCTTGTACACTGAAGCCAAGATAATCAAAGGAAAAAATACTAGAAGAGAACTAAGAAAAACTTGTTCGCCACTGAAAACCTCCTTAGTAGACCTAACATAGAAGTGAATACAAACTCAACAACAACACAGAAAGAACAGCAAAATATTCTACTACCTGTGTCCGGATTAAAATTAATTTAAAAAAATGTAAAATCTTTCTTGAATGTTTATTTTAGATTTGCTTTAGAGTTAATAGATTAAATTTAATATTTCCAATAAGCAATATACTTTGCTGCATTTCAAAAAAATCTAATTTAAATTGACTAGAAGAAGTTTTATTATTAACTGGCTGATTAGCGCCCGTTTTTAGTCGTCTTAAATCGTAATGTAATTCTCTTTTATTAAAAAATCTTCCCAAAATAAAATATACTTTTCCGAAACGTTATTTGAGAAATATTAGTGGGTTTAAAGTATAA